CCGCAGCGTGCCATGGAGACGCGGGCGGCGGGACCGAGATGCGCCGCGGTCCCACCACCCGGGTCCTCCGCGGCTTTGCTCCGCGTCTTCCTGGTCTGCCGGGCCGCCCCCCAGCAGACCAGGGAGACATGGAGCAGCTTTTCTCACCCCGGAGGACGCGGGCGGCAGGACCGCGGCGCGTCTGGGCGGTCCCGCCGCCCGCGTCCTCGGGGCGAGAAAAGCCCCGTTCGTAAGTACGGATCCGAACTAAGTCGGATCCACATAACTCGGGGACTGCCTGTACTGTTATTTTGGGCAAGCTACAGTGTCAAAATAAGTTACTATGTCCTGGGCTAAATTCCAGATTGTGTAATTCGTGCCACAAATAACTTGCTAGCTCAGAATAAACTCTTACCAAACCTATTACTGTTTAACTGTATAACTGCAGAATTAATGAACATTTTGATCAATAGTGGAGATTTGGGAAGCAGCTTAAAAATATTCCACTCCTTTCCTCATGCCCCTTACAGCATTACACTTCTGAAGCACACTTTGAATAGAGATAAAGGTAGTTTGCTTTGCAGCATGGTGGGAACATGGTTAATAGGGGATATTAGGAGTCAGTAATACAAATCTTATTTATATTCCATACACTGCCACTGACTGGATTTGTGACTTAGGGAAGTTTCTTAATTTGTGTCCCAGTTTTTCAACCTTTATAATTAGAATAATCTTATCTAGTTCAACAAAAACTGCGCCCATCCAACAGTCCCCCCTCAGAATGATCGCCCTAGCTGAGAGATGATGGCTTTTAGTCCTGATCCACTTGCAATATTGGTAGGTTGTCCCTCTTTACACTAATGTGGATTTATGGTGCTGTGTTGTTCATAATTTGGTACAACTAGTACAGACTGTGCTGTTCTCCACTTGGCCTGCGCTGCAGTGGGATATGCCAGTGCCATTCCCTGCAGTTTCAGCTTGTTTCATCCCAATTCTATAGTGGCACTACCACATGTGGGGGTCAAATGTCTGTTACAGAGGTAATGCAAGGAATGCCTCCATGCCCATGCCACTACATAGTGTACAGGGAGCTGCAAGTTGCCAGTCTAGTAGGAGTGAGCTACAATGAGATTTGAAGCTGTGCCACATGTCCTTCCCCTTTAGGGGAGGGGCACATAAGGCAACTGCAGCCTTAGTCAGGCTCTGGCTGGGAGCCCAAGGTGTAACTTGTTGTGCAGTTCCTATGGTGATGGGGGAGTAGTGACCCTCATCCAACGCAGCAGTAATTCCAGCTTCCACTGCAGCGCTCCAACACCTTGCTCAGAAGGAAAAGCAAGACAGCCTTTTAGAGGTAAAGCTTTCAATAGACTGTGAACTCTGTTCTACATAAAAAGTGGCTTGCTTTGTATTTTAGTTTTATGTTAATCGAAAGGGCATAAAAAATTAAAAACTAAATAAAAATGAACAATCTATGTTTTTCTTAATTGCCAGGTACTATTTGCATGTCTGGACTGTAGCAGAGGCAAGATATCAGAACTTTGAGGGCAAGCCTCTGCCAGAGAAATTGTGATGGTTTTTAAAAAAAATGAAAACTGGCAGAGATAAAAATGCAAATGTAATTTGCAGGCAAGCAGGGTGAGGAGACAAGACATTTCAGCACACCTTTTATAGCACAATCTAAATAGGGACCAAGTGCCTTCTCATTAGTGGCTATTCAGTAAAGACCAGATATGGATTCCATTGAGGATGGGAGAAACAGACCTAGCATTAGATACAACAGTACTAGGCCCATAAACCAGAGGAAATCTGGTATCCTCACCCCAATATATCTCCTGTTATCAGAGAGGGACCAAACACCGAATGGCCATAGAAAGTAAACTGCTTCCACAGAGAAAGAGCAGCTTTCCAGCTCATGGTTGAGATACAATGGTGGGCAGATATGGGGGAAGCATGCACCACCAACAACCCAACCTATACCGAGTAAATACTAGGTAAATATTTCAAGTCCAACATTAATTGTATAGGTATTAAAAGGGATCAGTTATAAGAGAATTGTACATAGGTAGACTAATTATTCAATTTATAATTTGGCCAGAATAATAGGGCACATGCCCCCTTTCTATACCAAAAAACATGGAAATTGTAATTTGTAATCTAGAACAGTGTTTCTCAACCTTTTTTTTTTTTTTATAAAGTACCCCTTTAAAAAAATTATACCCCCCAGTATCTAGAGTTCTCAGACACACAAAACTTTTTTCTACCATTGCAACACGTCTTTAAACAACTTAATCGTAGCCGGGTGGACAATGACATTTTTGGGTGTAAAAAGTACAAAAATAATAAAGCACTGTAAAACTTAAAACAAAAATTCATTTTTCTCCAAATTTCAGTGGTGTTAACGTATCCCCTCAAATTTCTCTCGAGTACCCCTAAGGGTACTCCTTCCACTGGTTGAGAAACACTGATCTAGAAGGCGCCCTCCAAAGAGTAAGAACCATGGGAGCCATAGTTTCTATGACAGAGAATAGACTGAAAGGCAGAACTGCCTTTGATAGCTTGTGTTTCTTGGAGCAAAATGCAGGACTATGTAGCACTTTAAAGACTAACAAGATGGTTTATTAGATGATGAGCTTTCGTGGGCCAGACCCACTTCCTCAGATCAAATAGTGGAAGAAAGTAGTCACAACCATATATACCAAAGGATACAATTTAAAAAAATGAACAAATATGAAAAGGACAAATCACATTGCAGAACAGAAGGGGGATGCGGGGGGGTGGGAAGGGGGAGGAAGGAAGGTAAGTGTCTGTGAATTGCTGATATTAAAGGTAGGGAGAGTGGGATGTTTGTGAGTTAATGGTATTACAGGTGATAATTGGGGAAACTGTCTTGGTAATGGGTGAGAAAGTTCAAAGACTTGTTAAGTCCTTGTTGGTAAGTGTCGAATTTTAACATGAATGACAGTTCAGAGGATTCCCTTTCAAGTGCAGATGTAAAAGGTCTTTGTAGCAGAATGCAGGTGGCTAAGTCATTTAGAGAGTGTCCTTTCTGGTTAAAGTGGCAAGAAACTGTTTTCTCTTTGTGATCTTGTCTGATATCTGTTTTGTGGGCATTAATCCTTTGGCGAAGTGTCTGAGATGTTTGTCCAATGTACATAGCAGACGGACACTTTCGGCACATGATAGCATAGATTATATTTCTGGATGCGCAGGAATATGTGTTCTTGATCTTATAACTTACTTGGTTAGGTCCAATAATGGTATCAGCAGAATGAATATGTGGACAAAGCTGGCAACGGGGTTTGTTGCAAGGGAAGGTACCAGGGTTGGTATTAGTGTGGTATGTCCTGTGGTGGTTGGTAAGAATGATCTTGAGGTTAGGTGGTTGTCTGTAGGAGACTATGGGTCTGTCTCCCAGAGCCTCTTTGAGTATGGTATCCTGTTCCAATATAGGCTGTAGTTTATTGATAATGTGTTGGACAGGTTTAAGTTGGGGGTTGTAGGTGATGATGAGTGGTGTTCTATTGTTGGTTTTCTTGGGTCTGTCTTGAAGTAGATGGTTTCTAGGTATTCGTCTGGCTCTTTCAATTTGCTTTTTTATTTCTCCAGGTGGGTAGTTGAGATTTATAAATGCTTGGTAGAGATCCTGAAGCTTCTGGTCTCTGTCAGCGGGATTAGAGCAGATGTGGTTGTATTGAAGGGCTTGGCTATAGACGATGGATCGTATGGTGTGTTCTGGATGGGAGCTGGAAGCATGTAGGTAACTGTATGTGTTTCTTGGGAAATCTATCTAAGTTGTTACTAACAAATCCCAATCTCAATTATGAGATCTGATGCTCAAGCAACAGGCTTGCTTGTGTAAACAGTGATGCCCTTTACTCAGTTGCCTCATCTAAACATAGGTAAAATTATAAGATGTAAGACGGACAGCAAAAGAATCTAAATACCCCATTTAACATAGGGGAAGCTGAGAGTAGGTGTCAGATCTGAATCTAAGTTTGCACGCAACAGTTTGCATCCAACTCTACTAAGAATTAATTAGGTCACTTCACATTGTTTGTATTCACTGAATTTCTAGGTGGCTCTAACCAAGCATCACTGCAGCGATGACAACCACAGGTTATGTAACACCTCGTTCTCACACTGCTAAATAATTGCAACGAGGGAGCTCAGGAGTCCTTGCAGAAAACCCATTGAAGTCCATCAGAGAGTTTTCCAGTAAAATTCAGACAATGTGGAGCTTGAACATAAGGTTCAGCACTTGGACACCTATTGCAAACAAATCATTAAACAAGCAGGTAAGGTACATTCTGGTAGTAGTCATTTTCATAGGCTTAACTATCAAGAAATGCATTGGTACACATTGCCACATACCTTGAAATACCGCCTGTCACCCCTTGCATGCTCAGTGACAAGGAAAGACCTTACAATATATGCCCTCATGCATGTTCATGTACAGTAAATTAAACCAGAAACAAACCTCACTTTTCAAAATTACTAAATTAACATCTCCCTGTCTTAACTGCCACACCTTTATTTTCTTTGGTCATTGCACAGAAATGAGGTAGGAACTGTTATATCTCTGTACTGTTATTGGCACAGAAGGGCTGTGGCTTCTAGGAGCTACAACAACCCAAATAATAAAAATAAAAAACAAACTACAGTAAACTTCTGATAATTCAGCACCTTTAAAACCCAGGGGGTGTCGGATTATCAGATATGCCGGAGTACCAGAAGGGGGGCTATGATGGGTCTGGGGGAGGGGGTGTCGGCAGGGAACTGTGCAGCGTGGGAGAGAGCAGCGCTGTGGGACCAACCCAGCAGCACCCCAGCTGCTCTGCCCCCGGCTTCCCCAAGTCAGCCGCTGGTCAGTTTCAGCAGCAGCGGACCTGGGAAAGCCGGGGGCACAGCAGCTGGGGTGCTCTGCTCCAGGGCTTCACCAAGTCCACCGCTGCTGAAACTGACCGGCGGCGGACTTGGGGAAGCCGGGGACAGAGCAGCTCCAATTGTTCGGCTGCCTGGAGCACTTCTGGATTCCAGTTGGTGCCAAACTATCAGGAGTGCTGGACCACTGGATGCCGGACAATTGGAGTTTTACTGTAGTTCCCTGAAGCAAAGCATTTTCTGCCATGATGCTTCACAGCAGTTAGCCTGTGAGGACCAAGGACTCGATTCAAAGCAGTAACACTATGTCCATTAGCAAACATATAATTGGCTCTATAACTATAGTCAGGTACTATGGTATTGAACATCTTAATTTTTTTATTACAGATTTACACACTGAAATATTAATATTTTAAACAAATTTTATTTTTCCTTCAATCAAATCTGATACCATGCAGTCAAGCCCTGGGACTCAGGAGACCTAAATTCTTGTATTCCTACCACAGATCAGCTTTGTGACCATTCCTGCAGTGCCAAGCAGCATTACTCAAAATGGCTGGTTGCTCTCTCACTGCCCTCACCCCCAGCAAAATCTCTACTGGCTGGAAACCCATCCCCAGTAAAACATCTCAGCTTCCCATCCCTGCACTGCCCCTACCCTCAGTAAAACATCTCCATTCCCATTGGTTGGTTTCCAGCAAATCGGAGCTGAGAGATTTTGCTGAGGGTGGGGGCAGTGAGAGCCACAGGGAGCAGCCAGCCATTTTGAGTAATGCTGCTGGGTGCTGCAGGAATGGACTGCTGACCAGACTGAAAGGCTTGGTGGGCCACATCTGGCCCATGGGCCCACCCCACCTTAAACAAAAAATCGAGAATGAAACAGGCAAGGAGAGATGACGTGGCTTGACCAAGGTCACAAAGCTGATCAGTGGGCAGGAGCTGTTGTAGGAATACAAAAATGTAGGTCTCCTGAGTCCCATGGCTTGTCTACATGGCAAGTTATACTGCATGGAAAGCCAAGTTATAAATCTACAACTTACCACTCAATGACCCCTGTAGTCACTGCTGCAACACAATGCAAGTCCTAGAGGGTGTGGCTAGGGAGTGGTACTACTACCACTAAGTGTAATATGCGAAGAAGCCACACTCCAGGACTTCCACTGAATTGTAGCAGTATCCCTGCAGGACAAGACAGGAGTGCAAGCTGGTGTGCTATAGTTTCACATTGTGGCTTGCCTTGAAGTGCCTTGCCACGTAGATGAGCCCAATTCATAGGTGATGGAATTAGGAGTTCTGGGGGTGCTGCAGCACTTCCAGGCTTGAAGTTTCTCCCCATTATATACAGCAGCATTTACAGTTTGGTTTAATGGCTGTCAGCACCCCCACTACACAAATTGTTCCAGCCACCCCTTCCCCCCCCCCCTAAAAGGGAGATAGAAAATAGGACAGAGATATCTTGTTGCCTCCATATAAAACCATGGTGCACCACATCTTGAATACTGCATACAGATGTGGTTGCCTCATCTAAAAAACTATATATTGGCATTGGAAAAGGTTCAGAAAAGGGCAACAAAAATCATTAGTGGTTTGGAATGGTTTTGTATCTATTAGGGTCACACCATCTCTCTAAGCATTATTATATATGAATCAGAATCATACAGGGTGGTCTTTACAGCATACTGACCTAAATGTGGAAATACTCTGTTTCCTTTCAGCTCTTTGAGGAAAGAGCTAGTCTCATAAACCACTGGTTTGATCTGTGGACAGACAAGCAGCGAAAACAATTCCTCCAGACAATATTGATGAGATGCAGTAAATCACAACTGAAGTAAGTTTGTTATAAGGGCTAGCTTAGTGTCGTCTTTCCAAACGGGTATGTATGAATATGGATATCATGTAAGACACACAGCAAACCAATTCTGCAGTAAGATTTGGCCAAGCAGGGAAAGGGAGGAATCCCTGTCACCTCACAGAATCCCAGGGAAGTCCATGTGGGTTTAACATCAGTGCAGATGTCTGCCCCGTGGGATCCTAATGGGACCTGAAATTTTATCTTGCATTTTTAAGAGGATCCCATCAGTTTGACTTAATAAGCACACTGTCAGTTTCATAAGACTGAATATCAAAATTGTATGAGAGACTCTGTATAGATATTTGTCTAGTGCAGGCCTGAGGATCTAGATTCTTCAACCTGTCCCCTTTTCCCTGCATCAGTAGGGAAATGAGAAAACTGGTCGGGATCTGAGCAGTTCTGAACCAGAAAATGTTCTGGACTATGGGAGGTCGATATTGTCTATCAGCATTACCAACACTTTCACTACATACTGTGCTGTTAGAGGCCATTGCGGGATAAATGGCACAGAACACAGAGCTAGGACTGGTGGCTGTAAACAAGCTTTATGGGACCACATGAAATTTGGGAACACCCACGAAAAGTGGACATCTGGCTAACTAAAATAATTCTAGACAAGGGATGTGTTCTGGACCAGAGTGTTTTGGACTGGAGAGGTTCAATTTGTATTATGTATTAGTGGCCAAGCACTGTCCATGTGGGTCAGTGCCGTGTAGAACGTGGATCAGACTAGGTTCCTTGCCCCAGTCTAGAAGTTGGATCTTGCAATTTATTGAGTAATGTAATAGTTTTCCTGTGCAGACACTCACAGAAGTCAGCATGGTACCATGTGGGCAAAACCGCCTTCTCCACATTATATATTACAGAGTCAGGTCATAAAGATTTAAGTTGGCAAAGTACATATCACACCAAGTTCCCATTACAATTCCAAATGGGAGAAAGGGCTGCTCTGCATCTCACAGGATGAGGTCTCAGTCAGCTCTTGAAAGCATAAGGCCTAATCACGACATCCCTTAAACACACACCTGTAGACCCTCTGACTTCTATTGGTTGAGAGGGGTAGCCAAGTTAGTCTGTAACTGGAAAAACAAACTATGAATAGGCAGCACCTTAAAGACTTCTATTGATTTGTGTTTGAGTAAGGATTGGCAGAGTTGTTTCCTGGCCACATGATTATTAAAAATGAGAGAGATTTCCCCATCCAAACATGGACTGATTTGTGAATTCCTTATACAGGTCCAGGATAATACAATTGTCTAATAGCTTCTTTATTGACAAGCATAATCTTTTAGTAACTTGGTAGGTGAGAAGTTTAAGAATAATAGAAAATGGCTACTGAAGATACAGTACAAAGGTTCAACTTTCCAGTCTTCTGGAGAATAAAACCAATCCCAGTGATATAAAAGTGCCTGGAATGCATATAATGGTCCTATTGAAATGTCCACAATCTTGGCATCGTTTTGCAAAACATTTTAGATCACTAGTTACAATGCAATGATCCTCCTTGCATAAAAGTCTAGATTAGCCCTCAATATGTTGCATTATCACCAAGAATCTATGATTATCAATAGAGAAAAGGCCAACTAATTAGACTTACACACACCTTGAATCACTTCCCAAGGAGTCACAAAGCAATTTGCAAATGATGTGCTGATAGGAATCATTTCACTCCTGACACAAATTCATCAAAGATATTTCAGGCTTTTTGAAGGGAAAACCAACAAGGTGACAGAACAGAATTTCAGCAGGTTTTTAACCATGGCGGGAAGGGGGAGGAGGGGTTCCAGTGCTAATGGCTGACTATCTTCACAGGTTTACCCAAAACTGGCTTGGAGAGAGGATTCCAGTAACCAAAGTGGATTTCACCAGAATGCTACCACGTTTCATTTCTCTATACATCTTTTCCTTTCTCAGCCCTAGGGAGCTGTGTGCAGCTGCTCAAGTCGACTGGCATTGGAAGTTTATAACTGAACAGGTCTGTTCATTGTGGACCTCGGCCCATTCTCATGACCATCAAGAATAATTTGTTCATGGATGTTAAAAAAAAACTTTAAAAAAAATGAGTGGTTCTATAGCACCTTAGAGTCAAACAAAAAATATAGATAGTATCATGAGAGATCTAAAGAAGTGGGTTGTGCCCACAAAAGCTCATGATACTATCTATATTTTTTGTTAGTCTCTAAGATGCTACAGGACCACTAGTTTTTTAAAGTTATTTTAAGTTAGAGACTAACACAGCTACCCCTCTGAGACTTTATGGATGTTGACAGGAACAGGACCTGTAATTGGACAGCTATAGTGCTTTTAAGTAGCACTACATGCATTAAATGGGAAATCTGGAACTGCATGTTATAAATAGCATAATATGCCAAAGTAATTTCCTGTCTTGTACAGCAATTACATAAGTGCTCAACCTCTTGAAGCATTTCATGTATCTAGCATACTTTTCACAATTGAAAAAACTTCTGTACCAGAATTTTTAACTTTCACACACTTGACAAAATAACCCTTTAAACTTTGCTTTACTTAATTTTTTTTATAACAGATAAATTGTTGGAATCAGATTCATCTAACCCCTCCAAGAACATCTCAATTACTAAAAGTATATTACACATAAAGGCATTTGTATTTTCTTTGGTCAGAAGCTAATTCTAATTCTACCATTTCACTCTGCTGCTTTGCCTCGGCACTTAACCCTGCTGTGACATGGGTCTTTAACTGCACACATCAAGCAACTGAATACAAAATGTAATTTAGATCTATGTAGTCAGCCGGATGTCCTAAAATCTTTAATTTATAGAGATTGCTGTGGACTATATAGATACAGAAAAACTCAGATCTTGCATTAACAATTATGCTACTGTTTGTTATGATCTGTCTAAATATAATGTATATTATAGGCACAATACTGTGTTTATAAAAATTAAAATGAAATATTGATCTTCAGAAGCTGCTTGTAGTTTTACAACAATTAGCCTCCTCTCTCTCTTCTCCAATCCTCTTAAGTCAAATATGACAATCAAGGTGACAATGCCTTTATTTGCAGATTTCCATATATAGAAGAATTTTAAAATGAAACCTCCTTCCCTGTTCTTTAAAAATAAACAAAACCAAAGTAAATGCATCTCATTGAATTCACTAGCATTATCTGATTATTCACCTTCAGGAACCACACCTGTGTCTGCATATAAGGAAACATTGCAGCCAGCTATTTGAGATGGAAGGATCATGTCTTTTTATTTGCATAAAAGCACCTACCATATATGCCTAGGCACTTAATAAAAAAAAAATCTCACTTAACGTATTTATGGAGCTCCCATGTTTCATTTACACACAGATACTACAGTGATTGGTGGCAGTATGGAACCCAAAGGTTTATTAAATTGAAAGCTTTGTGTCCTCAAGCACAGCTTACTATCTCTGTTTTACTGCCTTCTTGTTTTAAGGACTGCTTATGGATGCCAAAATGTGTGAAGTTTGGATGGTTCCTGCCATACACTCCAGCAGATAATGAATATAGTGCTTGGAAGAGACATTACATAGACTGTGCAACCAGCTTACATTACTTCACCCCAAGAGAAGCCACTGAAATCTACGGGACCCTTAATGAACCAAAAGCTGAAAACGAGGAGCAGGAAGAAAGGCTAAGAGAAAAACGGCTACGAAAAATGATTTGGGAGAGATTAGCATTACACAAGAGTCAGTGGTATTAAAATAACCTTTCTTCTGAGGCTAATGTTAAAATAAATGCTTTTTATTGAAAGTGGTATAATAATTTAAAGTGTTCAAGTAGTGAAAAACTTTTTTTAGGGTTACAGTAAGGAAAATTTATTAATTTTAATATCAAAAGGGCAAGAGCTAAAAATGGTAAAAATGATAGATTTTGGTTCTTCTATCTGATTGTTTAGTCCTATTTAATATGCCTCTGGCAAAAGGGATAAAAATATTCTGCTTGATAATGTCTAGTGGGGTTTCTCGTACATCTCAACTGTGGAAATAATAGAAACCTCAAACTGTCAGTGTGTGGTTGTTGACCTAATTCCTTTCATTCTGGCATATGCTGCTTTACAAGGCAGGAAAAATCAAAGTTGAAAGAAAAAGGCCCAGTAGCCAAGTGTCCTGTAGACATTTTAATTATACCTACAAATATAGTCAGAACATTAAAGGAATTCATGGTAAAGTTTATTCAAAACCTAAATTTTGACCTAAAGTTATTTAAATAAAACGTAAGAGCACATATTCACTCTCTGCACTGAAGACAGACGTTCTGGCATTCGATTTAGCGGGTCTAGAATAAATCTCACACTGAGGGCAGTTGTGGCTGGCATCTGTACTCCTCAATCACAAGGATTAATGGAAGCCTCCCGCAAGCTCAGCTTAAGGTAAGCTGATTCCAGCTACATAGGTAGAACTGCGTACTTTAAGCCGTACTTGCAGGTCTAATGTAGACTGGGCCTAAGACTCACAAATATTATTATAGAATTCTATGAAGTCAGACTTTTATTAAGCAGAATATTGAGATTTGTGTACAAGTCTAATACTCAGTGTACTTTATATTAAATAGATACAGATTGGGAATTTTTGTCCAGCAAACATGGGTCTCCAACCTTCAATAATATTTGTTTGAAAAGATGTCACTACTCATAGAAATTTTGGAGAATACACCTTCAAATCCCATTAAGTCCTAGTTTTCTCTCAATTCTCATATTTGACATTCTCTTTAAACCCCAAGCACCTGGAGTCATGTGATTATGTGAGAATCTCAGTTTTCCTTTTTAAAAACAAGCTTCTGCTCCTTCTGGTTAAAGAGAAAAACTTATATCAGAAGGCAAATAAAAACAGATCCCATTTTTTTAAACTCTTGTGACTGCTAAGATATTCTTATGATTATTTTAAAATGAACTCATATTTTGAACCAGTGCCAAAACCACTATTGTTTCATGGATTAATAAGAGACAACTTAATTTTAGTAGAATGACTAATTCCTAGCCAAAATGAGGAGGACTTTTCAGGCAGGATGCTCTGTTTAAATAAAAGCTAAAGACTGCCATGTAAAACTAAATGCTAATTAAACAAATAAAAGGAATTCCCTAGTTACTGCATTGTTTCCCCTGTTAGTGTATACTTATATATCAGTGGAAAAACAGAATTTAACAGCTGGGACTGCTGATGCTTGTTTTTCAGGGGAGTTATTCAAAACTCGACTGCCTTGGACGAGCGGGACTCGGAGTTCCCGATCCTTAAAATCACGATTGCAGCCAAAGCAGGCCCAGGCAATCCAGGATCGAGCAAGACTACACACAGCTTTGCAACTATTTAGGGTAAATTCCCCTCCCCAGGGGCAGCTGACCATTTTGCGGAGCCCAGGGCAGCCCAATTTCACGGGGCCCCCCCCTTTGCCACGGCGCATGCGTGGGGCTTCTTGAAGCGCAGGGCCTGGGGCAACCGCCCTGTTCACCCTGCCCTATATCCACCCCTGTCCCTTCCCCCCATCTTCTTGCATTTTTTCCTTTGTAAATTAATATTTGCACACGCAAAAAACAGTAAATGCCAGATCCTGAGATTGGTTTCAATTCCTTCTAAGTAAGGGAAATGTACTTTGAGTAGTTCTGATTCAAACAAGATCTATATGTTACCACTGCCGACCAATTTCATTGATTTGTGTTTCATGCAACTGAATCCCACTGAAGTCAGCACAGCGTATGATCCACAGTTTATTGTGGGCCTGATTCTGTAACCCTTAGTCATGCTGAGTAGTAGTCTACTCACTGTGTACCCCCTTTATCCTTCCAAAGACTGCTTTGTGGCATGAGATACTATGTACTCTGAGGAAGGCTGTGATTGTAAAACCCAAGTAATTCGTGGACAATGTCTTTGTCTGGAACATATACAGTATAACAAACAGGTTCTCTGCTTTATTCATCTAATTGGTTCACAAGGGCACACAGTGCTTATATGCAGCAGGCTTTCTTATAGTAAATGCTGGCAAGTGTCAGCTTCTGATTAACTAGTATGTTGATGTGAGAGAGTCACTTCTGCAAAGTCTTAGGCTCACGAGTAACTAAGGGTGAGTCTACACTGCAAAAAAGCCCTACATTGTAGCAAATCATAGAGCTTTGGTGAAGTATCTCTGACTCACAGGACTTATGCTACAGAGCTAAAAATAGCAGTGTTTGTCAAGCTGGAGCTCAGATGCTAAGTCCCTCCCCGTCTCTGGGAGTCAGTACAAAGACTCCAGCCTTAGCGGGAACTTGTACACTGCTATTTTCAGCCCTGTAGTCAAGTCCTGTGAGTTGAAGTCAATTGACCCAGGCTCTGAGACTTACTACCTTCCTCCCTCCCACCTGACATGTACAAGTATGAATACTCACAATGACATAGGTAAAGTTACTCACATCTTTATTTCGTTGTGGATTGGTCTTTCTGTCTTCAAGGGGCCCCGATATCTTGTTAACGTATGCTGATTGGGTGCCATAGTAAAAAAAAAAAAAATCAGTGCACAATATATTTTACTTCCTAGTAAGCTTACTTTCTACTGAAAAAAACATTTATAGATATCACTTAGAATTTTACAATACAGCAAGACTTCAAAACTCATCATAAAGAGCTGTTAAAATTGAAGGACTTGCTCATCACCTTGCAATATCAACCTTCAATATCTTGCAAACAGACTGAAGTAATGAGAGCAATAGAATATATCATCCTCTGCACAAAGCTCGGCAGCTGTGTGAAACTATTCGGCTTTCTAATGAACTCGGCACACTCATTTGTATTATCATAGCAGTAGGAGTTTGTCATGGAACAGGACTCCATTGTGCTAGGTACGGTACAAACAGAACAAAAAAAGACAATCCATGCCCCAAATAGAGCTGGTTGAAATATTATACATGCTGATATTCAAAGTGAGCCATTGGCAGCATGTTTAAAGGAAGCTGGCAGGGGAACCCAAAGACCCTATCCCTGCATCCTTGTGAAGCTGTGTAAGATCAATGCCCTCATTCACATCTGTGTTACACAGTTTATCTGAGACACTGTTAGAGTTGTATTCTCAAGTAGTGTCCTTCTAACTAAGTCAGTTAAATATAGCTTACTGTCTCTCGGAATGATCATGTACTAACAGCGATAAAATAAGTTAACTTTTTTTAACTGGTAGAAAAAAAAGACAGGCTTGCTTAACCGCTCCATTGTATAACTACTGAATGGTATGTTATTACACTGCATCATGCATATTTCTCTCAACATTGTTTAAATGCTTTCAGGAAAAGAGCACTCTTTCGAATCATACTCTTTCAATGCTGCCTTCTGAAGAAATGAAATCCAAGTTTAATCTAGCAGCAGATAAACAGCTTGTTTTGGCCTCCTTAAAATCTTTGCCCAGCCCCAAAAGGTAAGCAGGAATCAAGCTTTTCAAAACACTGACAATTCCAAACCACATAAATAATGGTACCCAAAGTGCATTGATTAGTAAGTGTGACAAAATACAGTGTGTGTAGGAAACAGCACACAAACCTTTGGATCATGTCAGGTAGCTTTGTTTGGTACACTACATCACCATGATGGAGCTCAACTTTGTCCATTACAGTACAGGCAGTCCCCGGGTTACATGGATCCGACTTACATCGGATCCCTACTTACAAACGGGGTGAGGCAACCCCGCACTAGCTGCTTCCCCCGAGCAGACCAGGGAGACGCGAAACTAGCGTCCCCCCTAGCAGACCAGGGAGATGCGGAGCGGCTTTTCTCAGTAGACACCTCAGCTTGAGAATAAAAGACTGAGGGAAGTGAGGTGTGGGAGAATAAAACTAAGCTTTGGAGAAATGTTTGGCTAGAGTTTCCCCTACAATATGAACCAGTTCCGACTTATATACAAATTCAACTTAAGAACAAACCTACAGTCCCTATCTTGTACGTAACCCAGGGACTGCCTGTAGTTCTAAATAATTACCACACAGATTCCTGCTCTTAAAATTTGCTCTGCTCGTCCTCTGTGCTGAAAGAGCAACTCCACATACCGGCTTGTAGACAATATGCCTGGCCTACACAAGTCCTCTAGTTAGCTGAAGCCACACTTGAGTGCAATCCTGAGGAGGGCACTGAAACTTGAGGTTGGGCAGAAACTTGGTGTTCTCGGAAATTTGGAGGCTCAGATCAGTTGATCTGGTCTTAAATCAGCATCCTGAAGTTTAAAAAAAACCCCAAAGAGAACATGAAATAAGGGGGACTCTCCCTTACGCAGCATATCCACCCTCAGTAAGTTGCCAGGTTAGTCATAAATTGTAAACTTCTTGCTTAGCCTGCATATGGATCTAATGACAAAGCTTTCAAGTCTAGAGCTGTACTTTTCATTGGCTAAACATACTTAGAAGATCCTAAAAATTCATTTTCTTTTGTAGACTTACAAAAAACAAATGATAATTTGTTCTTTGTGCATATTGAGACTAGCAGTTTAAAATCCTCTTTTCATCACAGAGCAAACAAGGGCACAGAGGGGTATTTTCTCTATCAACACTTCTATAACACCATGGATGATGGGCGAAGGCCCAGCTGGTAAAGGCAAGACTCAGCCCTGTCCCTTGAGTCAACCCCACTCACTCCCAGCCCTATACTTCCTGGCCACCTAGAGAGCCAGAGAAGCCAGGCTGCCACACCACTGCCCTAGCTTTCCCCAGTGGCCGGGGAATGTAGGCAGTTTTGGGAAAGCAGTGCCTTCCTTTGCCTACACTACCTGCGGCCCATGTATAAAACAGTGTAAAAAATAAATGCAAAAAACCTGCAAATGGCTAACATGGAACTCAGTGGTTTCAATAGGCAGTTGGTGATTAAGGTTCATTTTCTCACAGAAGTGCTGGCCTTCAGCAGGCATGGGGGAGAATTGTAAATACACTTACAGCGACATGTATTAAACACTGCATGTCTATTCAGTGTAACTGAGGTTTTGGCATGAAAACTGAGGTTTTCATACCCTCATGCTTTATCTGTGCATTAAAGTAAAAAAGAATGATAATCTTTAAGGGATATTCTACCTGAGTTTTTGCTTTTCCTTCTGTAGACAGAATGTAACTGGAAGGAGATCCTACCCTGGGTTACCTAACAAACACTGTCAGAGTGTCTACCAAAAATACAGCAGCTTTGCATACCCACTTGAGCCATACCTGGTCTTGATATCATCCCAGATTCCTGCATTTGAGGTATGAATTTCTTCTGGGTCTCCTATTTTTGAATGGATTGGGCTCTGTATACCCATTTATCCTGGGGATTTATCCAAGACAGCAATCTTTTTGTCCTTCCCCTGCACAGGTGGCATCCTTCCTGGAGTCTGTTAAAGCCTCACTCCTGCAAACACACATGGGCTTAGCTTTGCTCACATGAGTTGTCTCATTAAGTGTTCACAAGATTAGGAGTTCAGCAAGAGAACATCATAAAGGGAAGAAAAACAAAGGAAAGTATAAGATTAAAATAGTCAGTAAAGTAATAGTATGGGCCTAAATCAGTAGTTCTCAATTGGGGGGCACAAAGGAACATTCCAAGTATGTGAGGCCAAAGCCAGTCTGGATGGGAGGGGAAGGAAGCTTGAGGGAAAGGAGCACAACACTTCTAGCCCCACTCCACCCCCCAGACAAGCTCCACTTCCAACCCCATTCAGCTCTACTCAGTCCTGCTTTGCCTCTAGCCCCAGTTCAGCCCTCACTCCGTCTCTGCCTCCAGACCCACTCCACCCCCAAGTCTGGCCCCAAACCTAGTTCTGCCCTCATCCCCTTTCCACCCTAAACTGGCTTTTCCTTAAGCCCCAGCTCTTCACCTGTCCCCCTCTCTACCTTCAGCCCAAACTCTGCTGCTGTGGACGCCTTAACTGGCAATAATGGAGAGAGGGGCACAGACAGATTCCATTACTCACGTGCATGTATTTGTGTGTGGGGGGGAGGAGGGAGTGACTGAAAAAAACTGAGCACCACTGGCCTAAATGAATCTCTAATGTAGAAATTCAGAATTTAATGGGAAACTGAATTTAAAAATGCTATGTGTGGGCATGGCTGCAGATTTAAGGACACTGTGATCTGAAGTAAAAACAAATCATATGGTTTAACTACTAAATTGTGTAAGATGTTCAGTGTTCTAGCTAGTCAAGGTCCAGGAGATGCATTTTAAAAACAGCCTGTCCTGTATATTGATTTAAAGAGCTGAATACAATCCAATTTCCAGTAAAGCATCAGTAGGAAATAAGTAGAAAGTGTAGCTGACCACCCAGCATTGTCTTGTTTCATGATAAAAATAAGCCTCCCACCCATCCTAAAATTCACATGTGGATGGAGAGCTGCATCTGTACAGAATATAACTAACATCCGTGGCAGTCTACAAGGAGTGCCAGGCTGCTCATGCACAATGAATTGCAGGTGTGACCTAGCTGATATTTTCTTTTCCTAAAGACTGTTGGAGAGATTCTCTCATGTCCATTGGCATTATGGGGCCAAAGGACAAAGTTGAATAAAGAATTTTAAATTTTTATTTGTAATTAATTACAAATGTGTTACAATATGATGAGATTAATTCTGCAAATGACTATTGAATTTAGAATTATATTTTTTCTTGTGGAATTACATCTTGAGAAAAATCAGGATTTGAAGCTCTGAACTGATTTATTTCTATAGATGGTGCTGGACAGCATCAAACCTGGGGTGATTCCTGTGTTGTATGAACATTGTGGAATGACATTGGAAAGCCTCCTTTTTTATGTAGAAAAGGCTCTGGATGGTCGAAAAGCAAAGAGTATTGGGATTTTTAGCAATGGAGACTCCAGGGAGATCAATTTACTTCAAGGTAGGGCAAGAAAAAAAACTGAAAACATATCAATGCCACGTCACATTTAGGTATTCCAAAAAGGGGAACAGCATGACACTGAAAAGTTGATTGAGCTAGTAAACTGGGCACTGATCCAATTGTAATTTGTTTCTGGCAGGTGGACCTCTGTACCTTCCATTGTAGTCAACAGGACTTGCCACAGGAATAGGGGGCTGCTTGCATGTAAGGAGACTAGACATATGATGCCAGTCCACAGTAGCTCAAAATCTGACTAGGAGGTTAAATAAGGGAATAAAGGAAGATGAGAAAGAAACAAAGACACAGAAGGAGCAAAGATAAAAGTAATAGCCAGAGAGAGTAACACATGGTACATGGAAAATAAATTTAGAGAAGGGAGAGACAGAGGGAGAGAGGAGAGAAGGTACTAAAGAATTGGAAGACAAGAAATCTCTCATCTTTGAAAGTTAGTTCATTGCCCTGAAGACAGATTTTGGGGAAGAGTGTTAAGTCCTGAGAAGAGAAGTAATGATATGAATATAGGAGGGATGAATTTTGAGCAGAATTAAAATCCTCATGGAAATTTTCTTTCATTGACTTATATAAATGTTTTTCAGGCTGCAGAATCAATATTAAGAACATTCTGAGTCCTGAAGTGAGGGAATTTTGGGAGAAGCTAAGTGGTTGCGTCATCTCTCCAGAAGAAGGTGGCCAGGTGGACATCTTTGTGCCTCTAGCAGCATCAGGTCAGTTTTGTTTGACCTTCTGTCATGACGGAGAATCTCCCACTCTATTGTCTCCTTGATCACTGCTGAGTAAGGCTTGTTGAAATTCATGTTAGCAGAAAAATCAGGTTTACAACATAGTGACGATTTTTACTTTGGTGAAAAATCTGAATGCCTGAAAAGTTATGGGATTTGTAGTTTGGGTGCCTTGTATCTTGTTCCCATTGTCTGTGGGCCCAGCTCCAGAGCTAGACAACATCGCTCATGATCCACCACAAGTATGGGCATCTGCTGTGCAAGGCGGATGATTGTAGTGCATCATGGGACATAGTCCAGCCAAGAAGCCTGGCTTACAAAGGAGGACACAGTTTAATGATAAACCAAGCTAAAACATTACTTTTCAATTTGGTTTCATAAACCACGTTTTTCAGAGTAGAAATCTTTGACTGTCTGAAGCTATGTCTACACTCGCGGTTTCTTGCGCGAGTAATATGCAAATGAGGCTAAGCATGGAATATCGGCGAACCTCATTTGCATACCTAATGAGCCACCATTTTTTTCAGAAGAGGCTCTTGCGCAAGAAGGAGTGTCTACACTGCCCCTTCTGGTGCAAGAAAAGCCCTCTTGCGCTATGCTGTTACACCTATTACTTTTCAGGAAGAACGGCATTGCGCAAGAGGGTTTTTGTTGAGCAAGAAGGGGCAGTGTAGATGCTCCTTCTTGCGCAAGAGCCTCTTCTGAAAAAAAATGGTGGCTCATTAGGTATGCAAATGAGGCTCGCCAATATTCCATGCTTAGCCTCATTTGCATATTACTTGCGCAAGAAATAGCGAGTGTAGACATAGCCTGAATGTGTTTGCTTTTTGCAGAAAAAGCCAAAGTTTCCCACAGGGTGAGTACCGTACCTAGCACAATGGGGTCCTGCTCCATGACAATCTCCTACTGCTACGATAATAACTCGGCACACTAGTTAATTAGAAAGCAGACTAGTTTCACACAGCTGCTGAGCTCTGTGAAGAGGGTGATGTATTCTATTGCTCTGATTACTTTCAATTACATCAGTCTATTTGCAAGATATCGAAGGCTGATCTTGGCAAGGTGCTGACCCACATCTCCCATTTGCTCAGCCTTGCACAGTCATCCCCTAGTTGGCATCAAGCAGATCGCTACAAGAAATAGAGTAGTTCCACTCCTATTGTGTTTTCTTGGAAAGAATAAGATGCAAAGACCCTCAAAGCTCTTACATCTTTATTTCACACTCTTCTTCTCAGAGATCCCACAAACTCACAATGTATATCACAGGATCACAAAGAAAAAACAGTTTCTTGCCATTTCAACCAGAAAGGACATTGTCTCAACGACTTGATTACCTGCATCCTGCTTCAAAGACCTTTTCAGACCACACTTCAAAGAGAATCCTCTGAACTGTCATTGTTTAAATTCGACACTTTACATTTAGGTTTAAACAAAGACATTAATTATCTTACCCATTATAAAGATAGCTTCCCCAATTATCACCTCTAATATGATTAGCTCAGACATTTACCTTCCCCTCCCCCATCCCCCTTCTGTTCTGAAATTTGATTTGTCTTTTTCATATGTGTTCATTTGGGCTATGTCTAGACTGCAAGCCTCTTTCGAAAGATACTTTCGAAAGAGCCTCTTTCAAAAGAGCGCGTCTAGACTGCACGCGGAATTTCAAAAAAGCAAGCCGCTTTTTCGAAAGAAAGCACCCAGTGAGTCTGGATGCTCTCTTTCTAAAAAGTCTGTTTGCTGTCAAGAACGCCTTCTTTCGAAAGAGCACTTTCAAAAGAAGGCGTTCTTCCTCGTGGAATGAGGTTTACCACCGTCGAAAGAAAAGCCGCATTCTTTCGATTTAATTTCGAAAGAACGCGGCTGCAGTCTAGACGCAGGTGAAGTTTTTTCGAAAAAAGGCTACTTTTTTTGAAAAAACCCCTGAGTCTGGACACAGCCTTGTTTAATTGTATCCTTTGGTATATATGGTTGTGACCATTTTCTTCCACTATTTGATCTGAGGAAGTGGGTCTGGCCCACGAAAGCTCATCACCTAATAAACCATTTTGTTAGTCTTTAAAGTGCCACATAGTCCTGTTTTTTGTTCCAATGTATATCTCCTCATTGACATTGGAACTAAACTGGAGTTATTTTCCTTTAGAGCTCTCCTGCCAAAAACAATTTTTCTAGTTTCATGCCCATGTTAGTGGATGTGATTGTTTCAGTGTCATTTTGTTAAGATAGATAGTGCATCTTTCACGTTGTCCGTAAACGTAGCAGAGTTTTCAGAATTATAATATGATAAAACTAGAGAAACTCTTGTTGAATAACAAATACATGAAATTTTCTTCCAGCCTCAAAAAAATGTTTAGACTCCTTCTGGTCTCAGAATAATTAGAGCAGCATGGAGGGAAAAAATTGGGTAGTGAACTGTATTGACTGCAACATTTTAGTGATATAAATAGTTTAGTTTTATGAACTAGAAAAAAAATAATGCAACTTTGCAGAGGCAGGGATGGAAGTCCTTTCCAAGCTGACTCATCTAACTGGTGTGCTCTTCAGAACCCCCACAGGAATTGCCACTGGATCTTTTCAGCACAGTAAGTACAGAAAGTTATTAAATGGATTTATAAAGGGAGTTAGGTGTCACGTTATTGGATTTAAAAGGTTATTGCTGCACCCATGGGAGGGGTGGGTGCACCAAAAGTCTATACAAAGGGGGCTGTGTGGTGTCACATGAAAGCTTATGTTCTACTGATTCTGTATATGCTATTCATGTACTTGTATAATATCTATATGTGGAGTTATAAATATGTACTCTGTGTTGATGCTGGAAAATTCTGTCAAAGCATTAGGCAAAGAATGTTCAGCCCTCTTTATATAGACTTTTGGGGCACGCGTGCCCCTCCCCCCCCCATGGATGCAGCAATGACCTTTAAAATCCAATAATGTGACACTAGGTGACATCTGGTATTTGGCCACATTTTATATGACTTGGAGAAACTGAGTCATTTCCAAATAAGAGAAAAATAGTTTCATATCTTTAAAATAAAGGCACTTATTTTTCCCATAAGGAATGTAAGAATTATTTGATAAAAGCAAAATGAAATTATTATAAATCTGCTTCTGGAAAATGAGGGGTAGAAGTAGGGTGTGTAGAGGAAGGATGCTGGTATTTGACCAATTTTAAATGCCTATGATTGTTTTTCTAAAGACTCAGTGTAATTCTATAAAATCAAATTACAGATTTACATGATAGCAGCCTTCACATATTTGAAGGGCTGCCATAAAAAGATGGAGAAAACTTGTTCTCTTCCCCCTCAGGCATAACAAGAGGCAGTGGGTTCAAATTACAGCATTGCAAATTTAGAAGAAAATCTAAAGAAAAAACGTCAACTGCAAGAACAGTAGAACATGGAATAGACTATCTACAAAGGTTGTGAAAATTCCTTCATGGGAGGTTTTCAAAAGGAGGCTAGATAGCCATCCATTTTGGATGGGTTTGCTACAACAAATCCTGCATTTTGGCAGGTGGCTAGATTAGATGAACTTTGCTATCAGCTTCTATTATTCTACAGGTTTGTAGCTTTGGCTACTTTATTCTATCATTTTTAAAATTTAATTTCAGAAATAGCTTAGGACCATTTGATATTATGCAACGTGTCTGTCAGATTAACATAATGATGATCAGAAAGGTCAAAGTCTAGGCGTCATCTTAAACTTAAAGTAAACATTCAACTCCTCCTGGGAGAATTAAAAATTCTGTAAATACTTTAAAATCCTGCCTATTTTATTTGTCAAAATAAAATTATATAATCATGCCAGTTTCAATTTTGGTAACTTATTTCAAAATACCCATTAGCAAGTATGTCTGTGACCATTCAGATACCAAAAAAGATTCAGACAATGTTTTTTGACAAATTTCTTACGAGTTAATACAGAATGTTGAGCAATCCATTTAAGCTACAATACAGAAACATTTCCCTCACCCCTCAGAAGCCATGAAAAGGCTTGGGGAGAGTGAGTGGTAATAGAGAAGTTGAGAGAGAAGGAAGGAACCTGGGAGCGTACTTGCAGTATTGTTGGGTGTGGGTGGGAGAAGTATGGAACAGCTTCTGCTGGGGGAGGAAAGGGACTGTTAGGGAAGTAGGGAGCCTCTCTTGTGCAGACCCTAGCTGATCCAGAACCACTCCCAATCAGATACATCTGCCCTGTGTCCAATACCGCCGCCATTTTCATGTAGCCCTGGAATCTTCTACCCACCCTTTTCCCATGTGGCCCTAGAGTCCCGCCCCATTCAGTAGCTATCACCCACTAGCTCCTGAGCCTGCCCTGCACTAGCGCTTCTGAACTTGCACCTCTGTGCACCCCATTCTAACCTCGCTCCACAGGTAAGATACTGTGATGAATGAAACTGGCTGCTAGCTGTTGTTGGAGGTCAGCTGGCTGTTCTGGTGCCACAGCAGCCTCTGGTAGGTGAAAGGCAGAACTGCAGGACTTCTTGGGCAGAATGTATTTTCTACCGAAGAAAATCTGTGCTAGGCATGAACTCTGCCTTTGCACAGTGGCTCTCAGTTCTCCAGGAGTAAAAGAATGTACAGTCTTGTTTCCTTGAACACAGTAGGAATCAAACAGGAGATAGCTTCTTTAATCATGGTTCTAAGTCTTTCAGGTAGTACTCTGCTCAAATGCTCATGCTCTCAGAAAATATGCTTAGCTTTTTTACTCCCTCTGTCTTTGCTGCTTCTCTCTGGCACATAGCTCTAGAAAATCAGTACCCCAGCTCCTGCTTTATTTTATCAGTATCTAGGGAAACCCCTGAGGCTACATTGTTCAACTTCTACCCAAACCTTGCCATGTGCCTGACTTTTGGATCTTATTGTTTGTTAATCATTCCATAAAAGAGCTTGATTGTTTATTACATTTATACTAAACAAAGGGCAATGGTTACATCTACCAGTTTCAGTGAGTATAAAAATATCAGTCCTTAGTGACTGGCTGGGAAAACAGAAAGATGGACCTCCCATCTCCACCTACTTCACTGAAGTAAAACTACAGATATGGCTCAGACTGACAGAGCTCCTGGAAGAGACACTGAAATCTGTCAGGAAGCAGATGAAACCATATTTAAGTGAGCTGCAGAAGAACATTAGTGGCAGGATTATTGGTAAGATGTGTCTTTTTTCCTATTTTAACACTTATAAAATAAGTACCCTCTCAAAAACAGCAAGAAATACTTGAAATCTCTGCCCGCCCCTCCACGGGTCATGGAACCATCACAACTCAATGTTGTTTTCTGCTCCAATCTCTGTATTTAGACAATAATATTTAAAGTTGTCATAGGTCTGAGATTTTCATATACAGGCAGTCCCCGGGGTTACGTACAAGATAGGGACTGTAGGTTTTTTCTTAAGTTGAATCTGTATGTAAGTCAGAACTGGCATCCAGATTCAGCCGCGG